CTAAGGACACACCAATTAATGCATTATGTATCTGTGGTTAAGATAATAAAAATTTTGTAGTTTAATTTAGCCAGCCCTTACAAAAGGTATGCATACTTCTAGTGATTAATTTATGTTCTGTGAAGTAGCTGTCATCTGTATACTTGATTAATTTTAAAGCAGTTCTTCCTGTATACTATTTGAACATTTGTATTCGGTTGGGTTCATATTTACCAAGTACCAACATGTGTTATGAAAATTTTGAATACCATTTGCTAGAAGAGAGGAAGTTATGTCCAACAATATGACTGGTGTTCTTCAGAAGAGGATAGAACTGTGCTAAATGGGTTTGTGGCATTTTTGTTTTTAACACCATGGTTATGTCCTCTCCTCTAATGCCTAAAGGGCATATAAATTCACAAGAATCATAACCTGGACATTAGGTCATCATGTCATATTCCTAATCACTGTTCAAAAGTGCTTTGCTCAGTTTTAACTGCATCTGATCTGATGCAAATTCTAATCTGTAATGATGTGACCTGCCTGCCTGGTTAAGGAGGAGCACTGAGCACATTAGCACAGTAATATGAAAAAACATGGAACCTTTGTAGTTTAATGATGCTTCCAGCACCTAAGTTTCTAAGAGGTGTTAAACTTTAATTGGAGAAAATTAGCACCTTTACAAGCAGCAAAACTCAGCGGCCACTGAGTTATTAGTCAGTAATGGAACGGAATAAAGAACAGAAGCCAAAGTTGGTATTCCCAAATGACCAACAGGAGACAAATAGAAGGGTTGCTATAGCTGATAACAAAAATATTGCCTTTGTCAATGATGTTTCAAAACAGGGTATCTCAGATCTGTTGCTGTAAATGTCATAACCCACTCCATCTAAACCTTTCCCTTCTGCTCAGATTTTTCAGCTGATGCATCTTTTCACTAAGGAATGATTTCCCCCCCACTTTTTTTTCCTCTTGGAAATAGCAAAGACAATACCTGTGTCAGATCGTCAACAAGTTACACAGGAACCCGTGGGAAAGGGAGGAGAAGCCAATACAAGGGAAACAAAGGTGTTATGCAACACAAATTTTCACAGGAGCAGAGGCAGCGTGGGAAGAGGAAAGGATGGGATCTGTGCAGTAGCCAGTACCCGTGCAAAGGTGTTGCAGTCGGTTCTGGACACAAAAGTGTGCATTCCATATGGGGATCGGGAAAGGCTGTCTCGGCTGCGGCGCCGGGCCGTAGCTGTCGGAGACGGGCGCCGCGGGCGCTGCCACTCGCGCGGCCAAAAGCGCCTGCTGGGCGGCAGCCGGGACGCGCTAACGCGGGGCTGCTCTGGCCTAGTTCCTCGTCGGCCCATCTGCCTTATCGCCCTTCTCCTCCCGCCGGCTTCCTGCCGCCGCGGCCGCCTCCTCTCTACGTACCGCGCCCTCGCCCAGCGCTTCCCGCTCGCCGTGCCCAGGAGCCCCTCCGCAGCGCTGCGGGATGGGACGGGGCGCTAACACCGCCGCCGGCCATCTCACCTCGGAACGTCACCCCCCTTCGCACCCTCGCTCGCGGGGTCGCCACCGTGGTTTCGGTTTCGGTGCAGCAGCGCGGCCTCGTCCAGCTGCCCCCTCTCCGGAGTTCCTGCCTTACCGTGCTCTGGCCTCTGAGAGTCCTGCCGCTTCTCCGGGGGCCGCTGGCAATGGGGCTCGCCCCCAGCGCCCCTTAAATTATGCCTCGGTCCCGGAGCAGGATGACGCGGAGCGAAGGAGGCGGCTCGGAAGGCTCGAAGCGGCGCGGGTGCCGCCCAGTGACTCCTTAAAGTGCCCGAGCTCTCTGCGACCGGCGCCACACGGCGGCTCTATCGCTGCCTCGCCTCTCTGGGCACTACCATACTTGCCTAGAAGTGACTGTGTCGCTTCCTCAGCTCTCTGGGCATCCTGATCGGTGCCGCCAGAAAAATCTCTCACTGCCTGAGATCTCTGGGCGCTACGATCCACGAGCCACACCTTGGCTTTGTCCCTGCCTGAGCTCGCTGAGCAATGCGGTCGGTGCCACACGATGGTTCTATCGCTGCCTCAGCTCTCTGGGCACTCCGAGCCGTGCTACACCGTGACTCTGTCGCTGCTCCGGCCCTCCGGGCACTACGATCGGTGTCGGCAGAGAATCTTTCAGTGCCTGAGCTCTGAGCACTGCGATCGGTGCCACAAGAGAATGTGTCACGGCCTGAGCTCTCTATGTATTACGATCATTGCCACGCCGTGACTGTCACCTGTCGAGCTCTCTGGTAAGTACGATCGCTGCAACACCCTGCCTCTGTCACCTGCCGAGCTGTCTGGGCACTGCGATCTGTGCCACACGGTACCTCTGTCGTCTGTCGACCTGTCTGTGCACAGTGATCGGTGGCACACGATGACTGTGGCACTAGCTCGAGCTCTCTGTGCAAACTGATCGGTGGCATAGCCTGACTCCGTCAGCCACCGTGTGTCTGTGTCGCTGCTCGAACTCTCTGGGCAGTGCGATCGGTGCCACAACGTGACTTTGTCCCTGCCTGAGCTCTCTGGACACTGCGCTGGCCCCGCTCCGCGCTCCTGCCTTACCGTGCTCTGGCCTCTGAGAGTCCTGCCGCTTCTCCGGGGGCCGCTGGCAATGGGGTTCGCCCCAGCGCCCCTTCAATTATGCCTCGGTCCCGGAGGAGGCGGAGCGAAGGAGGCGGCTCGGAAGGCTCGAAGCGGCGCGGGTGCCGCCCACTGACTGCATTAAGCGCTTTAGTGCTCTAGGAAATGCGAGCGGTGCCGCCACAGAATCTGTTCCTGCCCGGGCTCTCTGGGCACTGCAATTGGTGGCGCACAGGCTCTATCCCTGCCTCAGCTCTGTGAGGACACTATATTTTTCCCAAGAAGTGACTTCGTGGATTCCTGAGCTGTCTGAGCACACCAGTTGCTCCTACCCTGTGGCCCTGTCACTGCCTCAACCTTCAGGGCACTATAAACAGCGTCGCATCTTGACTCTGCCGCTGCTCCATCTCTTTGGGAGCTGCGATGGGTGCCACACCATAACTCTTGTCACCTGTTGAGCTATCTGGGCAGCCCAATCGGTGCCACACCATGGCTCTCTCACTGTCTGAGCTTTCTGAGCATTGCGATCACTGCTGCATGGTGACTGTCATTGCTCGAGATGCTTGGGCACTCCAATCCGTGCCACACAGTGGCTCTATTACCTGTTGAGCTCTCTGGGCACTCTGATCCGTGCTACACCGTGATTCTGTCACTGCTCCAGCCCTCCGGGCACTGCGATCAGTGCTGGCAGAGAATCTGTCCCTGCCTAAGCTTTCTGGGCACTGCAGTCGGTGCCACACAATGGTTCTGCCACTGCCTCAGCTCTATGGGCACTACGATAATTGCCAAGTGACTTTGTTGCTTCTACAGCTCTCTGGGGACTACGATCAGTGTCACATCTTGATACTGCTGCTGCTCCATCTCTTTGGGGATTGCAATAGGTGCCACACTGTAACTCTGTCACCTGTTGATCTATCTGGGCGATCCCGTCAATGCCACAATATGACTCTGTCACTGCCTTAGCTCTGGGCACTCTGATCTGTGCTATGTCTTGACTCTGGCACTGCTCCAGTCTTCCAGGAACTACAATCAGTGCCAGCAGAGAATATGTCCCTGTCTGAGCTCTCTGAGAATTGTGATCGGTGTCACACGGTGGCTCCATCATTGCCTCAGCTCTCTGGGCACTATGATAATTGCCAACAAGTGACTTTGTCTCTTCCTCAGCTCTCTAGGCACCCTGATTGGTGCCGCAAGAGAATCTGTTACTGCCTGAGATCTCTGTGCGCTATGATCCATGCCACATCATGTCTTTGTCACTGCCTGAGATCTCTGGGCGCTATGATAATTCCCAAGAATCAACTTTGTAGATTCCTGTGCTCCCTAGACACTTCGATCACTGCCACAATGTAGCCCTGTTTCTGCTTCACCTCTCTGGGCACTAGGGTTGATGCCACACATTGATGCTGGTCCATCTGTTTGGGGGCTGTGATCAGTGCCACACAGTAACTCTGTCACCTGCCAAGCTATCTGGGCAGTCCGATCAGTGCCACACCATGATCCTGTCACTGCCTGAGCTCTCTGGGCATTATGAGCCTTGAAAACCTGCTGATGCTATTGATTCTGAGAGCAGGGTGGGACTTCAAGGCGTTGGAAATACCTTTGTCTATGGAATATTTAGTGCTGGATATGTGGGCATTTTTTTGTGTTCAGGAAGGCCCGAGGCAGGAGTTTGTTTGTCAACAGAGTTACTAACACAGATGACAGCCCTAGGGACAGTTGCAGGAATATGTAACCAAAAGAGTCACTGTAAATCATGTAGTTCAGCCTCTTCTGGATGTCAGGTATGTAGTTAATACAGCTTCTTTACAGAAGGGCCTTCCCACTGCCATTCCTCTTTGAAAAGTTTGGTGATAATGAGTGTCTAATGTCTTTACCATGATCTTTCCCACTCTCGAGAACTGTTGCATTCCCTATGATACTTTCAAGTGGTAGTGACAGAAGAGCAGCAGCATATCAACGTGGTAGGGCAGCATCAGCCCACAACTATGTTTTAAATTTTTTCCTTTGATGGTCAGCAATGCAATATAGGAGCTCCTAAACCATCCATCTACCCTTATCTGCTCTTCCAGGGATGGCACTGTCTGCTTTGTGCCTTGTGTTGGCCCACACAAGGCTGCTGGGAGCAGGGGCTCCTCCCTTCTGGCTTTCTGGAAGGTGTCGCATGGGAAAGACAGGTGGGACACGGAACGATGCGGGCGGCCCTGGGTTTGGAGAGATAGCACAGCCTTGGTGATCACTTTCAAGGAGAACTTTTCTCTCTGATTATGAAACTGCCCTATGATGGGCAAACTGAATAAACAACTTCTTTCTAGGATTTTGCAAAAAGAAAAAAAAGAAAAACGGAAGTTGACAGTGGAATGAGAAGAATTGATGCAGGACCAGCACATTCCTGTTTTCCACCCATGCTGGATTAGCTGGTATTCAGACAAAACTGGAGTTTAATGCTCCGACAGCTCCTGATGCAAGGGCTGATCACACTTACTGTAAAGAGGAGACTCAGGACCAAATGCTGACTTGTCACACTGAGCTCACTGTAGTTTAAATGCTGCAATTTTATGTCCATCCACACTGTGAGGTATCACAAGGAGAGCTTTATTGAACCTGCAGTCCAGAGAGTCTGGGACATTTGTCAGGTAAATAAAGCAAATGCAAATATAGACATGAAATATGTTATAATTGGCCACCATCTCTGGTGGGCCAATTATTCAGTTTTTGTCTTCTGCAAGCCCAAGCATCACAGAAAACTTTGGATTACATTTGACTTCTAAGGGTTTTTTTTCCCCTTTTTATGGTCAGTTGGTTTGTCTGGTTTGCTTTTTCTGCTGTTTAGCTTTGCATTGGGTATGGGGCCAAAGGTGTGGTCTAAAGATGGGAAGAGAGATAGCTGAATTTATTAGAATTGCTTGGTTAAAAACTTGTCAGTCTCATTCAGTGGTGATTTGCCAACAATCACTATGCAAAGAAAGAGGTTTATTTGTCATTTATTTGTATGTGCTTGGAGGTTGGTGTTGCCAGTTTTGACATTAATTCATTAAATGAATAGGGAAAATAAACTGATCCAGAAATGCAAACTGAATTTACAGAGAAATGTCTTAATTCTGATAGAGGAGAAGGAAAGATTCTCTTGAAATGGACAAAATGATTGGTACATTTTTAGTGCTTTTCTCAATAATGAATTTATCTGAGCAGAAGTCTTCAATTTTAGTATTAATGAGAATTTAATAAGCCCATTAGTTTTCTTTCAACTTTAACTGAACTTGCATTAATCTCAAACATTCACATACTTTGTACTACAAATCTCAACCAACTTATTAAACTTAGTGCTACCATGTGTGGGAGCTGGCATGTGTCTGCCAGATAGTGTCAAGCACAGTATCCTCAACATACAGGTCAGTCTGACATTCTTCATCTAATAGTTAACCCCACTAAGCTCTGCAATTGATCCCAAGCAGTAAGATTGGTTTGACATTGCAACTTCTGCTTTTACCTCAATTTCCTTCTTTCCTGAATAGTCTGCTAATTGAACACAGTGAATAGAAGGATGATTTCTCTTCTATGCAATTTTAAAATTTGTGCTCAGATTTCTTTCAGTAACTTTAAGTTGTTCTCCTTAAGTCTTTAAGGCATGAATCTGCTTTCTCCACAACTTAGATGTGTAGTACTTTCTTCCTTATTCCTTTTCACTTTCCTTTTCCTATAACAAAGCTGTTGAGACAAAGCAAATTTTCTGCTTCTGCAACCTAAAGACTCTGGCTCACGTACCTCACAGCAGACATCTGCAACAGCTTGGGGCAGCTCTGCTTCCTGGGAAATGTCTCTGTTGAATGTGGCCCTTTGCTTCATATGGGAGCAAACAGGAAGACTGACCTTTTCCTGTGGTGGCATTTCCCAGCCTGGTGTATCAGTTTACACAGAGCCTCCAGAGCTTGGGTTCAGCATGTTTATTATCCAATTAGTCCCTAAGGAACTGTAAGGCTGGGGTGTGATAAGACTGCCACAAAGCAGGTATGGCAGATGCATAGAGGCTTAGTTGTCTTTGACAGGGACTCAGGGAATGGGTTCTTACAGTGGCCACATTCTTTTAATATCAAAGTGCAAAGGCAGCTGTTAGGTGAGCTGGTCAAAGCAAGAAATTCAGTAGCTAAGTGAGAAACCCACCCCCTTGCCATATGCACAAACAGGGTTAACAACTCTAAAGCACAAAAATAACACTGCTACATTTCCAGGTAAAAATCCTGGATATTAAGAGCCAGACAATTCATTTATCCCATAGATCCTGACCCATATACAGACAGTGCATCTGCAGGCTTTCGGGTTAGTGCTCTGCCTCACTATCTGCTGGTGCTGGAGATCTCCAAGGAAGCTGATTGATGCTGATGCTGGAGGGGAAGCAAACACCCTCCAGACCCAAACACCAACACTGACTGGTGTGAGAGGGCAGGCTACAGACAGGATTCTTTTTTCTCTCTACTTTGGAAAGATGCATACTTTACAAAAGGGAGCTGTAGTCTACAAAGGAAGGTAAATTAATGCACATATCACTACATACATATTTATTTTTTTCTTTTTCTGGCATCTGTCATAGCTTTAATATTGCTATATAGATAGGATCTGGAGAAGCCTAGATTTAATCTAGAGAAGCCTATGGCTGCCCACAAGGCTTTCCAGCTGTTTAAGACACTTTGCAATGGTACATCCTTTTGCAACACTAGTCATAACGTGGTTTTTGTTGCTCCAAGGCACAAATATAGCACTATCACAATCCATCTTGGGCTTTTAAAGGTTGAGTATGGGCACCATATTCCCTGGCAAAGGAAAAAGAAGTGTCAATTGGTACAAAAAGTGTTAAAATAAATGTGGCCACATACTGTTTCACAAGCAGCAATGGTATAATCTGCCATGAAACACCATGTGTGCTATCAACCACAAGGAGGCAGGATGACGGTGTTTATGTGAGCAGAGAGAATTTCAGAGTTTTGCACCCATCCTTGAAGGGAATCTCCTGGGAATCACTGAAGATAAATGCACTGTTGTCAGTTAAACTGCTAGAAGCAGTATTGAAAATTGTTAAAATATATTTGAATTAGGAGATTAGTGTTCAGATATTTAGATAGAGCATCAAAAAGAATGGAGAAAAAAAAATCTTGTAGTCTTGCACCTGACCACTACTTGAAATACCACTCAGGAGAGCAGTTTATGGGTTCTTCCTTCCAAAGAGTCTTCAGACGCTGGGTCCAGGCAGCCAGCATCTCCTTCCTCTTCTCCTCAGAGACATTCTCTGGAGCATAACAGATGTGAGGTTCAAGGACTTTGACACCACAGAAGTGCATGATTCCATGCTGGATGCAAAACAAAGAAAGAAATGCCTCAGGAAATATCTACTCTTACTTTCCTTTGAAGAACATGGAAGATTCAAATCTGTTCTGCTTCTCTGATCTGATATCAGCCAGGTTCTCTAAACCTGTGCATTTATCAGGAGAAGGAAAATAAATTGCAGAAATTCACCACCTATCCAGTCAGACATTATTGAAGGCATTCAGCAGAATAGCACACAAGATACTCAAAGGGCAACTTCATTTCCTCTGCTCTGGGGAATTTATTTTTAACTGCTGCTAATCCCGTAGAATTTTTCTTTTTGGGAGCTGTTCACTGTTCAGTTTGCAAGGATCACAAAAGTTCATTGTTCAGTTTGAAACTCTTCAGATGGGTCTCTAACTGCAGTGCTCCACATCTACTTCTAAAATGTTTTTTTTTTTAAACTTTTTCCCTCTGGCTTAGCTGAGGTTTCTGTAGGAAGACTAGTACCTCTGGAATCAGCTCAACTTGCCATTTTCCCTCTGTGTTTCTGAATTTAGATCTGTGTTTCACATTTTTGCCAAGTTGACCTGCAAGCTCTGCAGCTGGACAGCTCCACAGGAGCAGGCAGCTGATAACAGTGTGGGGAGACCATGGAATTTTGGCTCATCTCTTGTATCAGGAAGAAGCTGGCAAAACTTGCCTTACCACCTGTATTTCCCAAACCATGCTGGGTACTTCTGAAAAAAGAGTAGCAATTAGAAGAGGAATGCTAACTTTGTGTGTTGACTGTTACTGCGAGGGTAACGTGTGGCTCCCCTCCTGCCCTGCATCCTAAATGAAATGGGAAACCACTGGGAACAGAAATGCATGACTGCGTGACTGAGCTAAAGGAAATCCTGTAGCAGGGAAACTGAAAAGACTCACAGTGTTAAGCTTTCTCTACATTCTAATCTGGAGGAAGCGGGACAAAACAACTTTAAAAGTCAGTGGACTTTTAAAGTATCCCAGCATTTTAGGTAACAGTTTACAACCTGCAGATCCTTGGAACTGACAATTTGAATATTAACTATTATATTTCATATCTAAAAAATACCCAATAAAGCAATTGCTAAAAATAGCTGGAATAATAAAAAATTATATAGACAATAACCAAATGTTCATATATTATACCTGCATGGGCCACAGGACATAGCGAATATCACCACCAATACCTTCTTTTGCATATATCTCTTGGCTTACTCCCGTGGTGAAAGAAAACAGGGATAACTTGTCCTAGAATTAGGAAAGTTGTGGTTAATTAAGACATATTTAAAGAGGAGTGCCTGAATGGTTCAAGAGATATTCAGGCAAACCTGGACAGCAAGGATTTCTAATGAAGAGGGTGACTTCTTCTTTCTCAGACCTTACATGAAGTGGCAGTTCTGAGGCAAAGATTGATGTCATACAATTAGACAGTGGACTGCGTGTCTTTGGAAAGACAGAGGTTAAAGAAAAGGAATTATGTGTCTGACACCCTTGTGTGAAGTAGGGCTGATACACTACAACATAGTGTAAAGTGAGAGCTGTAAACAGCTACAATGGAAAAGAATGAACAAGGACCCATAGAACATGGTGCAAGCCTTGACCTTAGTAAAACAATTCCAAAAACATCAAAAACATACCTGAAGCAAACCATCATCATAAACCTTTGACAAATCGTAAGCAAAGCCTTGGACCAAGACTCTGTCCATCCAGCCCTTCAGGATTGCAGGCATGTTGAACCAAAACAAGGGAAACTAGGCAAAGAGAAATGACCTGGTTAGCACAGAGAGTCTGGGTCACCCTTAGGCCGGGTTTATAGGACAAATCCTGTCCTCTGAACCTGCTCAGATCCTGTATGTACCTTCTCCAGCTCTCTGTCAGTAGAGGTAGTAACTATGGCTGGCAAAAGAAGCCAAAGTGGTTTCTGTTTGTGGTAAACCACAGGGCCAGACCTGAGTATCTACAGCACACCAACATTGTGGTGCATGTGAGGGCTTCCATCCAGAATAAAGTTGTAATGTGTTGAATTGGTGGGTGCAATTTAATTCTGATTTAAGGCTATACAGAATCATGTCTCCTATGGCTGAAAGGCAAAAGAAACTACTATTGTATTAGCAGGATTGACATCTGCTGATCAGTTCTGATCTGACAGTCTGCTGACAAATGCCAGGGCATCATAGGAAAGACTTATTTTCAAAGCCTTATTTTCATGACCCCTAATCCCTTTACTGAGAAGAAAAAGAATTTTTTAACAGTTGGACCCTTGGTTTCTAGATCTTCCAGTTAGTCCGTGGGACTGCATGCCAAAGCTATCATGTCCATGGCATTATCTTGACTGCTTAATGGGCTCTTATACGAGGCTGCATCACTACTCTTAAACCTTTGTACACATTGCAAATAGAGAAATTCTATAAACAAGTAACCACACTTGGCTTAATACACGGTGAAAACAAAATGGAAACTGGGCAACCACCACTGTAACTACAAACAGTGAGTTTAGTCTGTAGCAAATCTAGAATTCCTTCATCATGTCCTTTAGAGGCTTTTAAAATTTCTTTTGTATTTTCTCCACCAGAACACACTCAATTCATCATAGCATTTTACACATGAAACGTAGATGGCAACTACTTCCTTCAGGGCATGTCTTACTGTTCTTATATGGGAAGTGATAGTGTGAAAATTACAATGACTTAGAGTGAAATGCTTAATTGATATATGGCCCCAACCTAAATTTAATCTAACTTTAGACAGAGGAATATATATAGAGATGTCTAAGGCCAACAGGGACACAGAGAAATGTAAGGCTACTACTTCCCTCCACAATACTTTGTGATTTGTAGATACTGGGGACAGAGTTGGCATAATGGAGAACAGAGATGGGCTGTAAAGCTCTGTTATCAATTCCCAGTAGTGTTTCTGCAACTCAGCAACAAATGACAACAGTCAACTTGGGAAAGCCCAATTCCCTGATTTGCTGGTTGCTCCCAGCTCCTTGCCCAGGAAATAATCCTTCCTCTGCTTTCTGCCTGCCTGCCTGCCTGCCTGCTATCCATGGTCACATATGTCTTTGTGCATCCATCAGGAAGTTTGGCCCAGTGTTGGGGAGTTTCTGGGGTTGCTGTTGTTTTCAACCTGCATCATTGTGCTACTCTATTACTGGATTTACTGTAGTAATGACCCAGATAATTGTACTACTGACCTGTAGTTTCTACTGTACCATTTACCTAAAGTCAACAGCACAACTGAATTCTGTTTAAAATAATGACCTGAAAAATCAGCAGGTCTGCTTCCCGCACTTTCTTCTGCTCTTCAACCAGATCTTTGGACAAACATCCTCTCTTGTAAGCTTCCCAGGTTTCCACACCATAATTGAACGCTTCTGAGTTGTGCAGGTGACCTGTGGGTAGAACTGAAAAGTCATTCCTTGGCCCCTGTGCAGTATCAGTGCCAGATAAGAGTTGAATGCAGGTTGCCATTCACAGTTCTAAACTGAGTTACTGCTTTTCATTTTTCCTGCTTTTTGTCTTTGTTGGATATTCAGCATCAACCCAGCTGATGGCCACTTGATTTTAAAAAGGAGAGGAACATAGGATCTCAGAGTTCTAAAGCTTCATCTTCCTGTAGCAACACAGGAAGTGCAATATGAGGACCTAAGCTTGCCTCAGGACTCTGGGGATGCAGGTGGAAGATTTAAGAGAATGTTGTGAATTGTTCTGCCTCTGCCTTAGGGCTTGCTGAGGCCATCCTGCACTTGTAAGCTTAACTATGGAGCTGCTTTCCAGCCTCTATAACTGGGACATTCCCCAAGGGATGGGGGACCAGTACTGGGAATCAGCTCTACTGATTCCACTAGCAGATCATCAGTCTCTAGCAGAAGACAGGGGCAGTTGTAGCCTTGTGAACTAAACTGTAACTAAACTAAGTCCCAGAAGGGCATCTGAAGGCATTTCCTCTCCATGAGAAATGGTCTCTGGAGGCTGATTATGGACACGTGCTAATGTCTTTTTTCCTGTCAGTAATTTCACTGTGATACAAAGTTCATGTTCAGGAGTGGACTTTTAGAAATGCAGATGTCTGGTCATGGATAAGTTTCTTATCAATTAATTTTGTTTCTTACTAATCTTTTGAGGATCTGATGGCTGGAGCACCTCTCCTATCAAGCCAGAATGAGAGTTGGGGTTGTTCAGCGTGGGGAAGATTTCAGGGAGACTTTTTTCAGTCTTCTGACACTTGAAGGGTGTCTTACAAGTCACTGTTTTTTGAGAGAGGCATATTTTGGCTGGGCTCACCAACAATGTCATTCCTTGTTGCTCTGGGCTCAAACTGCATGGCGTATAAATCCGACACGGTGACACTGCAGCCCTGCTTGGTCAGCTCTTCCACAGCAATCTTCAACAAAGATCCATTGAAGGACTTGGGCTCTTGATGTGCATACACTATCAGGACTTTTTTCCCTGGAGGCAGAAAGAAAACCAGGAGACCATTTGGAATCCGGGAGGCAGGTGCAGAACAGTTTGTAGAGTTGGGGCTCACTCCTTGCTCCTTCTGTGGTGTCTTTTCCCAAGGACACAGAAGCAGTGAAAGTAGTGACAGTGGCAGCATTTGACTCCTGCTCAGTAGCACTGAGTGGCCCCTGAGGCCCTGATTGCTGCATGTGCCCAGCGCAGCAATTCTGTGCTACACTGGGCTTTCCTAGGTGGAGCCCAGTGCATAGAGGGGGTGTTCCATATCAGGTCACGCTGCCCTACATCAGCACAATACAGCCCCTTCTCTTGAGACAACATTTCTGTTGGTCTGATTCCACTACCATCCAAAAAGCATTGCCAGATAGATTGCCCAAAAGTGTCATGGAAGTTTCTTAGAGGTTGGAACACCTTCCTACTGCAGTGGTGGTTCCCTTCCTGATCTTTCATTTCAGTGCTGTGCAAGTTACAACACAGACATTAAAGATAGGGATTAAAGATGCTCGTGTCCCACTTCAGCACAGTTACAATTACTTCTGTACAGAGCAAAAGGGTTTTTTTTCCTCAAAGATGAGATTCTTATGTGTATTTCAAACTGTTGTCAATGTGGATTCAAGGTAAACTGAGTGTCCAGGCAGTTGTGGAAGTATGAAATATCTGAGAGGCACGTAACAAGACTCTGCTCAAAGAGCTCCACTGTGTGCTTTATTAAGCATAGGTCCTACAATTTTTATAATTCTCTTAAAAATCATTCATCAGTGAAACAAAGGAAAGATTTTGTATGGGGTTTTTGTTTATAGATAACCAGATAGGGAAATTCACAGGCACTATTGAAAATGACAGGGTTTGCAGAATATGCAGCTCTTGCTTCCTGACTGCCAACCCAAAAGTTCAGGCATTTCCTGAACTCGGTTTCTCTGTGGTGCAGCTTCTGGATATGGGTACCTAATGTCTATGAAAGAAGAGGTATGCAAAAAAGACTATTAAAACTTGCAGGTCAAATGCTATCATAAATTCAATGTGTCTATAAACTCTTTAAATCCCTGCTCCTTACTCTACTCTGGAATTTCAGGAGCAGTTACAACTTCGCTGTTTCTGCCAGATCTCAACAAATGGAGCTCAGTGATTGCACGTTATCAAAAGCTCCAAAAGGTGCTAACTTTCATTCTGCAAAAATGCTGATTTGTTTCCATTTCAGTAGAGCTGAGGGCACTTGGGCAAAGGATTTGGAGAGGCTGGAGTTTTCCAAGGCATCACTTACTGAGGTAATTTCAGTCTTTTGGAAAAGTAAGACCTCAGTGTCCCAAAGGCCCAGAGGCCTCAACCCTGAGGCACCCAGTGCTCAGGGCTGGAGCGAGCAGCATTTTCGCCCGGATTTGCTCTTACCTGCCATTGCTGGGGAGCGCTGGGGAGCTTCACTCTTGATCATCTGTCACTGCCTGAGAACTCAAGTGAGAGATTGGCGATGAGACACATCCGGAGCAGGTGCAAGGAGAATCGCTGTTTCAGCGGAGATGTGCCGTGGTGTGGCTGCGGGCACTCACGCACAGCCGGGCACTGTCCAAGCGCGGCCGCCGCAGCGGAGGGAAGCCGCCGGCTCTCGGCCCGGCCCCGGAGCAGGAATTCCCTCTCCTCCGGCCGCCGCACGGCGCTGGGCGCCCGCGGCACGGCCGCCTCGGCGCGGGCTGCGCCGGGCGCACGGCGCCGCTCCCGGTCCCGTGCCGCCTATGGAAAGCGGCTGCGGAACAGCCCCGGCGCCCCGCTCCCGGCGCAGCCCGGGCTGCCTTACCTGCTCCCCGGGGCCCGCAGCACATGTGCGGCGGGGCTGGAGCGGCCCTTCCCGGCGGCCCCGGGCCTTGGGCAGCGCCGGAGCGGGGCGGGATCGGGATCGGCGCCGCCCGCCGCTCCGGCTCCGCCGCTGCGACAGCGTGCGACACCTACATCACCTCTGGATAGGTTTTTTTATTCTGGGTCTCTGCTCTTCTCCAAGTACAGAGCTTGTCCTTCATTTCTCTCAGCAATGCAGTATGAGAGCTCCTAAACCATCCATCTACCCTTATCTGCTCTTCCAGGGA